AGCCCCGTTTTTTTTGGAAAGTAACCTGGTTCTACAACATAATTTTATTTGAAACTTGAAGATAAAAATATTGTGAGCTCTTCAGTAAGCTAAAAAAAAAACGAGCCGAGCGGTAGTTTAGGTTTAGTTCTACTGTTTTGGCCTTCCCACCTCCGCTACTCTTCGGTGGAATATAATTAAAAAAAACTAAGCCCCGATGTTTTTAATTATTAATCCGGCTCAGCATCACGCTTATCTGAATAAAAATAATTATTCTAATGCTTTATTATTGTTGGCTATCACTGTATCTTCATCCTTCACCCAAAACCACCTGCACTTTAAATAACATTTTATACAAACGCTACACAATATGTTTAGCTTAGCGTCGTGCTCGATGCCACGGGCCGTTTCTGAGCCATGAAACTTAGCTCACATCAACGCAAAAGATCGTACTGGCGTGTTCAGCTTGACTACCTACCCGCTTGTACAGTACTACCTGTTTAATCTTGTAAGTAAGTAAAGATTGATCACCTCTCATTCCAACCTCAATGAAAGCTAAAATAATATTTAATTTTAAACATTTTGTTGCATTAAGTGCATTAGACACTCTTATCTGTGCCAGTTATGATTAAAGCATTTGGATAATGCACCTTGGTGTTGTTGAGGTGTTTATCAAATTTTGATAGTGTAACGATGATTACAGGAATGGTTAAACGTAATTTAGGCTTAACGTTTCTTTATGGGGTCTATTTAACCAACTATAATTTTCACCTCTAGTGTTGTGTTGTCGCTCCAATTAAATCGTATCCTACGCTCTTGTCGGCGACAAGTACTTCGAAGTGCGCCTGTAAAATCAGGCAAGGATTGAGCATCCGTCTTTTTCCTTTTCTCGATAGAGACCTTGTTTTTAATTTTCTCGCTCTCACAGTGTTTCAATTGTTGGCAATTAACTGTAGCTTCTAAAGCAAGATGCGCTTCCGTCCATCCACGGTGGACATGCTCGAAATAACGGTCGAGTTACGACTCTTTTCGTGACTTCGTGCGTCCTTTGCCCCGAGAACACAAACTTTAGATGGATGCCCGCTTCCCATCACCTTTTACAGAACCACCAAACGTCGCGTGCAAAAGTGCTTGCCGCGAGATACTCAGTAACGTTTCATCCGGCATTTCCTGGGATACTCGTGGTTCAACGCAGTGTTTCATCTCCACTTCTGCTCTGTAGTCTAAATCACCGCATACAAGAGCAACGGGGTCCCAAAGAGGCGAAGCCATCTCGGCCAGTTTGCTCATAATAGCAGTGGCATCAGGAACAACAGGTAGCAGCGTATCTCCAATTTTCTTCTTTGAAAGCAACCAAGGCTGCAACGAACCAAAACAAAGCGTGAACGCATTCACAGTTTTTACAGCCGCGGCGTTGGTCGGCGATTGGTCGTGAAGTTGATTCCCGTGTTTTCTCTGCTCATTGGACACAACCTGCGTTGCTGGTGCTATAGAAACGCTACATTTTTCCGTGAAAATGGGGTCGCTGCTAGTCTGGTCTTTCCTCTCCTCGACTGCACTTACAGCCACCTTCTCGTATTGAATAAACGGGTCGTGTAGCTCTCGCACACTCATGCAAATACCGACCACGTCACAGGGTAATTTTTCGCTCAATGTATTTCCCGAAGAAAACACTTTGCAAGGATTAGGACACTATCGTTTCGGCGGCGTAATCTATGGTATCCTTCACTTGAACTAGAATCAATGACGCCTCTCGCTTTTCACGGTGAAAAATCGGGATCACGAAATCTACGCAACTTTGGTTACGAGGGAAAACCCCACCGGCTCGACGTCCCAATAACACCCACAGCATATCCTCTGTTGGCTCGGAGAATAGCTGAACGAAATGGCAGAACCCTAACTGCCAGTCTGCCCACTTGGACTTCCAGTTAATGAATGAATCATTTGCTCTTGCGTCGTCTGTTGGTTGTCCCCTCGTCTTTAATATCGGGTCAGGACCAACTAGTGCTTTGATGAAGAGTTCTAGACTTACGAATTGGCCCATGAACGGGCAATTACAATGGTTTTGTGCCGATATTTCAGCCTCTACCACACAAGAATCCATCACGAGAAGCAGAACAATGCGAGCAATTACCTCGTCAACACCAAAGATATCCAGCATCTCGTTCAGAAGCAACTTCTTGAGCTGCGGCAGGATACAATTCGCCAATGCAGGCTTACAGTTGTACCACACCTTCGTCGCTCCCAGCGCCAGCACCGGGTCCGACGAGAAACTACTCAAACATCCATCACTTTCATAATTCAGGTAAGCTAGAATCGCCATAAAGTCGGCAACGACGCGAGGCGCCAGGGACGAGCTCGAATGGGGACGCAATCCAAGTCGACACAGCATTGAAGCCACTCCAAACATTGTCGTTTCATCGTAACATATCAGGGAAAGTGTGTCTCTTCCTAGTAACATTCTCTGCGCTGCAAGACTGAGGACTCTTTCGACCGCTTTTACTTCGCTGTTGTATTTCTTCATTGACGCGTCAAATGTGCTCTTCCAGAGCGGTCGACCCATCGAAACAAGATGCTTCCAGGCCTCATTCTTATCACCAATACACACAGCATCTTTGTAAGCAGAAGTCTTGTTCATTTTCACAACATCCTTCCAGTAGACATCCATCGTATGACCAAGCACAAACGAAGGAAACTGAGCATTGCTATCGTCGGGTCGCATCGAAATCCGTCCCGATGATGCTTTCGGCTGTGAGATTTCTAGGCTTGTATCGACCAAGACAGCAAGGTAGAATTTTAACGGGGTCGTATACAGGTCAGGCCTGATTATTGGGTCAGGTTCCATTTCCAACAGGATCCTCCTACATAAGAAGAAGAATCGAGCAGTGAAGAAGATGACGAGGCTGTAGATGTCGACAGTGATGATGACAACGAGGGCGTCTCTGGTACTAGCAGCGAAGAGGACGCTGCTGCTACGAATTTGGGCGCAGATGTGATCAGCAATGACAGTGATGCCGATGAATGCGACACTGAAGCCGACCAACCTCGTACCGCGCAGACCATCGTGATCTAAGCATTTTAACCCAACTGATTAGCTTCATATCTTTCACTTCAATATGTAGCTTAGCAATTGGTCCTGTGTTTGGTAGGGCCGTCAGGAAACCCGCCTGACCCAATTATCAGGCCCTACCCGTAAACGACCCCAAAAATAGCTAACCGACAGCAAACACCCCAGCATTTGGGTGGTATCTCTGGATGCCTTGGTTTGCACTCTTTAGCGCACGTTGCAGCATACGGAGCTTATTATGGCCACAGCGAGTCCTCACGAGGAGTGACCTGGCTTCATCGATAGCGAGTATCACCAGCTTTTTATTCCCCTCAATCTCCATCTGTTTTCTGCATTTCCGTACTCGCTCAGCTTTATTTAACGCCTCGATTGCATCGTTATCACTGGTCGTAAACAATTCCAGCCATTCTACACCGACACTCGCCCAATTCTGTTGAGCGTAGTAGAATATTGTCTCCAGACACGACGTCATCCCCGCAAGAGTCTGGTAATCACCAAAAAGCCAATTTCGGAACCCTTTCGTCGCTTCTGGAAACCCACTCGACTGACCCACCCGCGTACAAGTGTAGAGCACCCGCATCGTTCCATGAAGCTCAGCACTCGTAAGCAAAGACAGCTCCCGTAATAGCCGACTTTTACCAAATCCGGAGCTCTGTACGATTGACACATACGGCGCCTTATAGTCACCTGGGTGTCCTGTGTATTGCTTCCAGCACCGCTCGACGTATTGGCGAAATAATATGTGCGCGTTTCCACGATACTGGAGTTGCGTAAATGCAACCTCCAGTAGGTCCCACAGCTCTAAGTTGTGTGTTGTTTTTAGCGATGGATTGATCACTGCACTTATCGCGGCCTTGACTTCTTCAGCGGTTTCTTTGGCGACCTTGCTAGCAACAGGAAATGAAACAATTGGATCGTGTTTGTACTCGATCATTATCCACGCTACAAGGGCGTATTGGACGAAGCCGTGTCCGTCCTGATAGCAGCTCTGCTTCATAGTATCTTCATCTTCGCGAGTCATTTCGTGCGCATACTGCGGTAGGTTTGCTCCCGGAAGATTGCCTAGTAAACGAGGGTACACGACGCGGCTCACGATCTGAGTCGTGCTGGCCGGAGCAGCTTCGTTCGTCTTCAGTAGCCAGGGATTAATAGCACGAAGTTAGCGAGAGATGGTCGAGATGAGCTAGCGCGTAGCTTACTGTACCTGCACCAAGCCGCTTTCTGTGCTTTGCATCGACTCGTCCAACGACATCAGGAAAAGGGAATGCTGAGAAAACTGGGTACAAGAATTAACGTGCTTTTTATATTTTGTAATTGAAGCACGTACAAAACAAGGACCACATTTTCCAAGAAGCATTTAGAATACATGTACAGTACAAAGGATGGTTTTTATTCCACACCATTATCATTTGAAATAACTCTTGGTATTTCTGATTTCCTCGTAGATAACTTATAGCTAACTATTATTTGGTTTGTAGTGATTTTGGCAAAACAAGATTAGCTTATAAGTAGCAGGTGGTGAATTTACGAAAATGCGAGCTCATAAAACCGTGATCCACGATGATTTACGGTAAAATGGCCATAATTGCACTTTTGAGAGTACAACTCTGGCACAGATGCAGCATTTCGTTCTGCTACGCCACTCAAATAGGGAGTATCACGCCTTAAATGAACTTACCGGTTAGGAACCAGCTACCGTTTCAAAGATGTTTCAAATTTAAATTAGAGCCAGTATTACCGATATTTTAAGTTCCACTGTCGTTTCGTATATACGAAAGAGCCTTCAAGGTGAAGCGCTAACCCTTTGGTAGTCTCGAACATTCTAATGGACAATACCATCTTGTTCTGCGACAGGCGACACTTCAGTAAGAGCCGCACAGCTCCAAGGACGCGCGTAATACGGAATGTGCATTCTTTGAGAAAGGGAAGCCTAAGACATGCTCAAAGATCTGCAATGCTAGCCTTTGAAGTAGCTTCGCTTGAATCGACCGCAACCCAGAAAATAATGTTTTTTTCAACCATCCGACAGCTACCAAAGTCCTCCCGCGGTCTGCCTTTTTTTACCCGTCTGAAGCTCGTTTGATACCGGCTTCGCTATTTGAAAACCTGGGAGATCTTAAGCCGAAACTTGAGATCCTGGTTTGCTCGCGGCAACGACAGTACAGGTCCGACCAGAGTCGCCGGCGACTGCTGCATCCTTTTAAAACGCCATCTTATGTAGCAACACGCCCGACTAAGGATCGCGTAATGCCAACTCTACAACAGCTAAGTCCACCGCTTAGTCTGAACACCTCAAGAAGTGGTCAATCCCAACTTCATGTACCATTGTCAGCTTTGTAAGAACGTCCTCCCACGAAACAATCTGCTGCGGACCTTGATGAGACCTCGAATCAGTCTATCATACCTGGCAATGCACCCCGAGATCTATCGTGGCCAGCTGAACTACTTCGACAACCGGTCACATTCAGCTTCAGCTTAGTGGAAGCTCCCGTCGCAGTGCAAGATGCGATAAAAACTACCAGCCCCTACCTGGATTTATCCTAGTCCCATCAAGGATGCTGAGCGGTCTATTATTCTCCAATTGGGTGTCCGTGTGCCAGTGAAATTGGACGGGAAACGTGCATCGGGTGGATCTGTCTTGGGAACAAAAGCTGTCGAGAGCGCCACCAGATCATACAACTATATGGAAAGACGTCAAAGGCTACAGCACATTTGAAGGACGTCCATGGCATCAACTCTGACAAATCTACACTACAAGGTGCACACACGCGATGGCGAAGTGGACAGACTTCGCAATGTTGCTCTGAAGCATGGCGATGCTCATCGGGTGTATTTACTTATGGATACTTTACGCATTATCTTTAACAATCTACCATTCCGGCTCGGCGAGTACGAGGAATCGAAGCTGTTGAGAGCTTGTCACCGACGAGAGGTACCGAGCGATAATTAATACGCAAACCGTAGCTCATGCTATCGTGGAATTGTAGGGGGATTCAATACGTTCTTCAAAATATTCTGCCCAACATCAAGTTTCTTACGATGGTGGTGGACATGTGGTGATTAAAACCGCAGAGTGAAAGGTATCTCTGTCTGCGTATAAACTTTATTGACAACGAGCGGCGCTTCCGATCGTTCTTGCTTGGAACTCGTCAATTTCGTCCTTCTCACGGTCAGCGCAATGGGGGTATTCGTGGGTCTTTCAAGCGGTGGATAGAGCAAATTCTATTCGACTTCGGACTTTCAATCAAATACTTCTTGTGTGGAACAAGTGACGCAGGCGCTGACGTGAAGGGGATGATCCAAGAAGGACTTAAACACCAGTGGGAATGGTGCATCCCGCAATTAACGAGCGATGCGACTAAAGCGGCTTGTGAAATTGTGAATGACAAGAGCAAGTAAAAAGAACAAGAGAATGACAGAGCTTACTTCACGAATCGGGAGGCCTGTTTATTAAGTACACCACGTAGAGATAATGGGCGCACTGTTTGCGGACTTATGCGATATGACCGGAGAAAGCAAGTCCCTTACCCTTGTCGAACTCAAGCCACCTCGATTCATGGGCCTAATCAAAGTAATCTTACGAATTCTTGATAAGTGGGACCAGCTGGTAGTTTGTTTGATTAGCGTATTGCTAAGTCACTTCGGGCTGGACTTGCGCCTCCGGGAGGTTTCTCTTTAGTAGCCGATAAACTTAATGATTCAACTGGTGTGTCTCGTAGAGCCTATCACAGGGCTGAGCCGTCGAGCTCAAAGCGAGTCAGCAAACCAGATTCAAGTACTGCTCAGTTTGTACATGCTTCGTCAGCACGTGCTTGATACTTCAGTCGCTCAAATGGACTATAGAACAAAGCATCGTCAGCCACCTCGCTATTTCGCTGTTTCCAAATTGACACCGGTCTGGCGAAGACTTAACATCATTCGCCGAAGCGCTCCATGAGCGATGCTTTTCTCGCTACACCAACCGCACCAAAGTGTGTAAGTCGTCGGATGCAGTTGTAGCTTCATCCTAAATTGAAGAGCCCTGATGGAGTGCTCGCTTCATTGATTCGCCTGTGCAACCAGCAACTAGCGATTGACCCCACTAACTCGACGAAATAAATGATAGAGGACGAGGTTACAATAATAATTGCATTTGTCAAGCAAACAATTCTCGACCGACATAAGTCGCTCATATTGTCGCATGAAGGTGCTCCTGAGGTCGATGTGTCACCGGCTCCCGCCGCGGAAAAACGCCTTCAACGTTCCGAGAGGACTTTATGAATTTCATTAAAGACGATGACGGTGTTGCTCAAGCTACATCAAGGGATGTTCAGGAAGCACGTGTTGAGGAGGAGCTGAAACGGTGGATTACTGAACCGGAGGTGATGAATCGTGACTAAAAGAAGGAAGCAGAACATACACTTTCGTTTTGGAGTCGCCAGACTAGAAGCAACTTCCAATTTCTTCCTTCGGTTGCTCGTATTGTCTTCACTGTTCCAACATCGTCAGCACAGATCGAGCGAGACTTTGGGTAAGCGGTATGATGGTTCCGAACCAGCGTGCTTCTATCTCGGTACTCATTTCTGAGCCGAAACAGAAATTTCATTGGTGCTACACAATACCGTAACTTCAAGGTGATGATGCCGTGCTAGTAATCCATCGAACGTACTAATACCGCTCGAAAGTGACAGCAGCTACCTGAATATTACTGCAGAGCGGGAAAAAAATTATGGCAACCTGCTTTTCCGAAAGCATTGATATTGAAGAGGAGTCGTTTAAATACAGCATCATAAGAGTTGTATTAGCATTTCACCTGTTTGATTCTCTCTACCTCACATTTCGACCAAAAGTGTGAATGATAGTGTTCACTCCTTCTTCCCGAGCTCTTACAAGTACTCAATCGTGTATCAGAGCTGGCGATCGCTTCATTCATAGAGCACCGACACTTTAAGTGCTCTCGAGGGGTGCACGGCCGCACCTATACCGCGGAGTTAACTCGCGACAGCGAACAACGCTGAGTGTACTCAACTTCTGGATTGAGCCGCGCGATACCGATAATTTGATGATCTGAAAACCTTCGTCTCTAAAGTGACGTACAACCCTGGACACTACTACCGTTGTCCCCCGTACCAACCGCCTAGGCGTTCAATTTTAATACAACGCACAGTGTGCTTTGTATTTGTTTAGAGCGCCTAGGCGTTCAATTGAAGGGTAAAGGTCAAAGTGAGACGAACGCAAGGCCCATTGACCCAAATGTATTAGATGTGCATTCCTTCCACTTGCAGGCAGTAGTACAGCCCAATTCTAGCTATGGAAATCGTTCTAGAAGCGTCGTCTACGGAGTACGTGAACGTCGACACGACCTTGCAATTGTAGTTGAGTGTTTTAAGCTCGATGTTGCATCCATGGTACTGAGCTGCTGCAAAAATCACGAGTTCGCTTCCGTCACTCTGTTCATTCCGGATGGACACAAGGTAGTCCTCGTCAAACAAATTGCTGAGCTCTTCGAGTTCTTGCATATACTGCGTCAGATCGGTAAGGTAGTCATCTTCATACCTAGCAAACGCGTGCCTAAGACAACAGAAAAGGCTCGAGCGAATATCTTCAGGCGTGTACCAAGCAGGTTTTTGGAGACAGAGTCCCTCCTTGTCAACGTCGCTGTCGTCGTCGTCGAACAGGTGCTGGTACCGGAGGTGCCATTCGTGCATGTTGATGCTAGAGTCAAGCAACTCTCGAAGTGGCGGGTGCAGTTCCGACTTGTTAAATTTGGAGCGCTCAACAATGCCACAGACCCGAAATGCCTTCCGTGTGTCCTCAGCTGTCCTCGTAGCGATCCAGTTCAAAACCCATTGTGCAACAACAGAATATTTTGGGACCTTGGTGTTTCCTGCCTTAGTCTGCAGCTTGGGGTCATCAAGTGCGCGTCCAATGTATTCGTCATACTGGTCAGAGTAAAAGGCTTGGAAGCTACGATTCACAGCCACATCAAGAGGCTGAAGAAGACTTGTCAGGTTAGGTGGTACCAACAACACGTGGATATTGTATCCCTGAAGACGCTTCTCGTTGAACAGCGAAACGTGGCACGCATACGAATCAATTATGAAAAGCACGTGCTGCCCGAAAAATCGTGTCTCCTTCCTGCTGTAAATGACAGTCTTCACGTAGTCGATGAGAATTTTGTCGTTCCACATACCGGTACGGTTAACATCCACAATAACGCCCTCAGGAACCGTCGGCTTGTGCTTTAGTTTTGAGAAGAGAAGATGAGGAGTTAGGAATTCGCCTTCACCAGTGATAGCGAAGGTTGCTGTGAATCTCTTGTGGCTGCTTCCTCCTTTCCGAAGAAGCACTTCGGGTTCTCCACGAGTTGCAATGGTCCTGTTCGGCTCGGTTTCAAAGTACCGAGGAACTTGGTCCATATTAATCACGTTGCAGGGCAAAATGCCGTGCTCCTCAATCAATCTCTGAGCTGATTCGATGAATTCCAAACAGGATTCCTTGGCGTTTGACGGGATCGTTCTTGTCGTTGTATGGCGCCTTGACACGAGGTTGTATCGGGTCTTAAAGCGATCTAGCCATCCTGTTGAAGCGACAAAATTCTGCTGCGGTATGTCCTGCTGGGAACGGTGGATGTTCAATGCTTGAAGTTGGATGTATTTGTCTTTGACTCGTAGTCCCTTTTTGTTTCGGGCCGTTATCCAGAGATGGAGCTTCTTCTCGAGTTTGTCGAACTCAGGTTTACGTCCGGCACCGGGAAAGCGACGCTGCATGCGTGTAACAACTTGGCGGTCCCTTAAGGCGCCTTCAAGCTTGTCAAGTTGCTCCACCCAGCTGCGTACCATAGACGAAGACACCTTGTACTCTAGTGCCAGTGCATGATATCCGTGTCCTCTAGTGTTGGGCTTGTACTTGCTAGCGACTTGTCGTTTAAAGTGAAGGCTGTAACTGTTTCGCTTTTTGTCAGGTGACATTGCGGTCGGAGCAGACAATTGAGGAATGCCGTCGAAGCCCAGGCCAGGCTCGCAAACCAAGCCGACGACGATGAGTTTCGTAGAACGGTTGGTCGAGCGCTGCTGATGAAGCCTCAGCTTGCTCTCGCAACCAGCAATTTGGTCGGGAATAGGCAGCGACTGTTGATGGTTAAGGTTCGTTCTATTTGACCATGCCTTCAAATCGGGAGAGCCGCAGCAAAAAAATTAAAAAAATACCTCGAATTAAGCGCTTAGGCGGTTGGTACGGGGGAAGACGGTAGCGAGGAGAGTATTTTAGCAATACGTCGATGGTCATTTAATACCACGGCTTCCTCGTTACGTCTTGCATTCCGCACCGAGCCTCATTTCATCTCAGGCTTGCCGTATGTGGAGAGCTGCGCACATTGCTGGCCGGCCACATCTAGCGCAGGTCTTGGCGATAGGATGTGACGCAGATCACCTAGATAACGACTTGAGAGTGCGGTCCGCTTGAGAGCATGCTCCACTTAAGAGACTGACGGGATACGCCGGCCCAGGCGGTGTTAGTCATGCACATGTTGTACAGCCTAGGTAGAGATCTGCGCTCCGCCGTCCACGCGTAGAATAACACTGGTACGCTACGAAAAGAAGTAGATGCAATGTTCACGGCTAGCTAGTGCCTCGTGCCACGAGTGACAAGCAGAGCATCGCATGCTACTCATCCGCGAATACACTTGTCAACGTTGATTTCCACTTCGAGATCGCTGTGATGCTTCAGTTTAATTCTACACTCCTGGACACAATTATACGACCACCTCGTCGAGACAGAACATGCCAAACACATGTATTTACTGTGTCAGCACACAGCAAATAATTTGACTTGAC